GCTACCGCCGACGGGCGCCTGGTGCTGCTGCGCCGCAGCCACCACGTGGCCGAGGCCCCCGGGAAGTTGGATGTGCCCGGTGGGCACCCCGAGCCGCAGGTGGGTGCCGGGAGCCCAGGCGTCCGGGAGGGAACCAGCCCCCCGGCTCCACCTCTCGGCCAGGGAACCCGGGCGCCCGGGCTCAGCGCCTCCGTCCGGTCCCAGCGAGCCCAGGTGTCCGGCCTAGAGCTGGTTCCCTGCTCCAAAGCCGTGACGGCTCGCCCGAGCCAGAGAAGCCAGGCCTCCGGCGTCCGGCCCCACCCGAGCGGGGCACAAGGCTGACCCTACCCGTACCCCGCACAGGCCATTGCCGGGGGGGTCCCCACCGCCTCTCTCCGGTGCGAGGACCTGCCCCCCGACCTGGTCGTTGAGGAGATCTTCGCCTCCGTCATCAAGGAGATCCGCGATGAGGTCAGTGAGGGGGAGGGCCAAGGCGGGGGGACTCCCCATCTGCCCCCTTACCCATCCCCCTCACCCCATCCCCCACAGGTCAACCTGCCCCCGGAGACCCTGAGTCCTCCCCGGCTGCTGGGGCTGGTGAGAAATGAGACCACGGCCGGACGGGCCACAGCCGCCTTCTTTGTCAGGTACAGAGCCATCCTGGGGGGCGCCAGGCGCTGGACAGACCCCTGGGCTGGGACGGGGGTGAAGGGGGCTGTGCAGACCCCTCCAGGCTGGGCTCATGGGGCGCCAGGCACTGTACATATTCCCCAGGCCGGGACTGGGATGCACCAGGCATCGCATAGACCACCCCCAGGCCAAGATCGGGGGGCACCGGTGCTGTACATGCCCCCCAGTCTGGGACTGGGAAGCACCAGGCAGTGTCCCGACCTGCCAGACAAGGACGCGGGGTGCCGGGCGCTGTACGTGCTCCCCAGACGGGTCAGGGGAGACTTGGGAAGAGAACCCAGGGTCCGGGTTCCCAGCCCTGCTCCGCTCCCAGAGCTGGGGGCAAGCGGGGTCCAGGCCCTGCTGTGCTGAGGGCCGTGTGGCTGCTCCCCCAGGTGCAGTCTGACCGCGGAGGAGACGAGGGAGCGGTACGAGATCGGGGGCGCCGAGGCTCACGAGTCCACCGCCATCGTGTTCGTCAAGGCGGAGGTGGGGGGGCAGAGGCTCCCGGACCCCCGTCCCACTCCCCTCCCGGGGGAGAAACCCCGGGTCCGTTCCCCAGCTGCTCCCAGAACAGGGACGGGCCCCGGGTGCCCGGCCCCGCCTGCCCCACCGCTGCGCCCTGGGCTCCTGCGGGGAGGAGGGGACCCAGGCATCGGGCTCCCAGCACCACCCGCTCTGCCCCGCGCGGCCGTTCCCCGGGGGCGGTGGGGGGCACGGGCCCCAGGCGTCCGGGCTCCCCACACTGACCCCCGCCCCCCCACAGGAGCTGCTGGGCCCCGGGGGGCCGTGGGCCGAGCTCTGCCCCTCGGCCAAGGGGGCGGCGACGCTGTACCACGAGGTGGGCGCCCTCCTGTGACCCCTGACCCCCACGAAGCTGGAGGCGGAGCCACTCCTGATCTCACCCCCCTGGGG